GATGTGGGTGTGGGGTTCCTGCCCTCTTTGAGCCGCGGACCCGCCTCGCCGGGCACCTAGGTCCTTACAGGGCACCTAGGCGGGACCACCCCCCCTACTCCCGTATCCTAATATGGATAAAGGTTACATTGGGTGAGGAATAGTACGTGCCTTGGGCAGGGCGTCCCCCACACCAAGGGCCATTAGTAGGACGTCTCCCACATCAGGCTGGTGCGCGTAACAATAGCCTTGTTCTAGAAAAACAATGATGATAATGACGATGATGATGCCCACTAGGGTGCACAGCATCTTGCCTTGAGAAAACATCATGAGCAACAGGGACCACGTATGCTGCGCACGGATTGTAGCAAGACAGCCGCGGGGGCCTTGTGTACCCTAGTGAAATTCGGAATATGTGAAGATCCTTTTCTTCAGTGCTGAAAAGAGAAAAGAAACTTGTTTTGAGCCTGCAAACTTCTTGGGTTGGGCAATAGGATGGATTGCATGTCCGGGCGTTCAGTTTGCTGTGGCCGTGCGTTTGGAACCCCTTCAGTTGCGTATGTGGCCGTGCTAAGGGTTTTCGACATGCAGAGGGGAAGTTTGTTGTGCATTCGATTCTGCGACCGGTGTGAACGATGGTGTGGGGCCCCTCCCATCTCCCTTTTCATAGGATGGCTCTCACATACAGCTCGAGCGGTGACCGTAGTTGTGCATAGTTTATCGCTCATTGCCATCTACAAGGCGGCACAGCCGGGGCGTTGCCTTTTCTTCGTGTAAGGTAGTTATTTACTTTCCGTAAAGAGTAGGCCAAGGCGACTGGGTTGGAAAAGCTCCTGCGCAGGCGTCGTTTGCTTGCCTGCCTTGAAATTTGTATGACATACTCCAATATCAGAGTTTTGAGTATCTAGACTATAGTGGGACGGGTCAATACTATGGCATTGTAGGAACAAAGTCATACATGGCATTGTATTGAATCAGGAATAGCATCATATCATTAAGCACTGAGTGGCTAGCCTGAATTTGTTCCTTTGCATCTTGCCACCAATACTAATGATTTGTAAGCCCAACTGCTTCAAGTGAAGGCCATGTGAGTTTGCAGGAACATGGCATGTATCGATCATGATTGGAATAGCATTACCAAAATTATTGTACGCTTGCAGTAAGAACTACATATTGGAATCTCAGCTGGCTCCAACATGTAGTGTGTCATTGCACATTAACGTGAACCCCATCCTTACAACGTTGGAATGCCACCCCAATGACGTCAAATGGTTCACTCTTTTGTGATATGGACCATGACATGAATAAGCGTTGGTTGGATAGGACAATTACTCTTCCGCAAATAGTGCATCAATGACTAAGAGGAACGAACACGACGATGCAGCGCTGGATAAGGGTAGCCCATGCCCGACCTTCACCATGCGCCACAAACAAATTCCAACTCTCGGCCATGATTTGCGATGGACGCGAGAGTGCTTGTTACTCACATGTAGTGTAGTGCAGGGCAATGTGCTCATTTGCTCTCGAAGCAAGGGTGAGGGGACCTAGGGATGTCCTCGTAAGGGGACTACGTTGCCAAGCGCATACCCGAGAGGACCATTGTTGGATCGGAGCCCGCCAATGCTGATGGGATAACTTTTGCGGGTCCAGACATGTCCTTTTCAAAGGGGATATAGGTTGAAATATCGCTGTGTCCTCAACGCACTGAATGTTTGGGAGTGTGCAAGCGAGCATCCGGTTTGTTGCCTTGCTGTGGTCGGACCAAAGTGGTGACCTCATACTGTGCAATTGCAATTGGCTGCCAGCGACCGACAGCCATCTTCATGCAAACAAGCACTGTGGCCTTGCACCCAAATGGTGCGGAACCAGTTCTGCGCACTCAGGACGCGGCGTCCACCGCTCTGAGCTATCGTCTGATGGTACCACCAATATTATCGATAGTAATCGAAGTGAATGCGCGCGCTGAATCGAGGGAAGGCAGACTCTTATTCTGACAGGTAGTGTTATACGCGTAACATTCTCATGGGCCTCAGGACCTGTCATGTCCACTAACCCACCTAAGCCATCCCTCCTGCAACGTCACTGTCAGCAAGGCGACCGATGATGAGCACTGAGCATTTGCGGAGACAGCTTTTACATGTGGGACATACCAGAGGCCAAACTCGCATCTCGTTAGAATGCGCAAATAATCACGACAAACTAGAACAGAACAAACGACATACCATCATCACACTAGTTATCCGCATACCAAGCCACAATGACCGCAGACCCGATAGTGTACAGCATAATCCATGCAGGGAACGGAGTCCCTTCCTCGCCACATCTCACCTCCGCCGCGCAGGCTCGCCCACCTCACCCCTTCTCACCGCACGCCACAACACATCTAAAGTCACAAAAAATTGCACACAACCTCGCAAATATTGAATACTACGGCCAAAACTCCGCAAATGCCGGCAGCGCCCAATGACCCGCCCGCTCAGAAACGGGCCCGCGGAACAGACGGGCCTCAAGCCCACACCGCGGCCGCCCTCTCGCAGTCTCCCGGCTGCAGCTCCAGTTTGTCCGGCACGTAGTACGGCGCCATGACGTCCGCGGGGTTGGCGCTGTGCGTCAGGCCCAGCACGTGGCCGACCTCGTGCAGCGCCACGGGGTACAAGTAGAACCGCCCGGGGGCCGCCGGCTGGCCCTGGCACAGCCACCGCTCCGAGCTGTCGAACTGCAGGTACTCCTTGGTGCTGTGCGCCAGGGCGCCGCCGGGGCCGTCCAGCTGGAACAGGTTGTCCGGCGAGCGGTTGCCCCAGGTCACGCTCACGTCCGCCTCCTCCTGCTCGTCAACCTCCGCGAATTCCACCCCCGTGACCTCCTCCCAGGCCTCGAACGCGCCCCGGAGCTCCCCCAGCACGGTGGCCCTGTCCAGGTACCCCGGCTCCGGCCCCACCCAGTACTTCACCTCCTCCCCCCGGCAGTAGTTGGCCGCGTCCTCGTCCTCCTCCTGGTCCTCGACGCCATCCACCCGGCTCTGCAGGATCTTGGCCTTGGTCAGGGGCCCGGCGACGCCGTCGTCGGCCAAGCCGACAAACTTCTGGAACCGCTTCAGCGCCTCCTCCGTGAGGTCGCCAAATGCGCCGTCCACCTCGCCCTTGAGCCAGCCGAAGCGCTTGAGATACGTCTGCAGCTGCTTCACCTCGCCCACCACGGGGGCCGCCTCCTCCTCCCCCTTGGCCAGGTGGGCGTCCTGGCTCTCAAAATACGGACCCACCACCTGCGGCTCGCCGATCTGCGTCTCCTCGATTGGCACCGGCTGCCCCAGCTCGTCTAGGCACATCACCCGGACGCCCACCTCGTGGCGGCTGAGCCCAAGGTCGTTCAAATTGGCGGTAATGTCCGCATAAGCGTTGAAAACCGGCCTCCGCTGGCACCCCTCGCAATCGGGGCTCTTGCTCCCGAAGATCCCTATCTGGTCCGCGAAGGCTGGGTCGTCCATCCACTCCTCAGGGTCCTCGGGCGGCTGCCAGCCCTCCGCGTCCGCCTTGGGCATCGCGAACACGTTGGCCATGTAGCTGTGCTGGCCCAGCTTCATGACATCCACGGGCAGGGCCACCAGCGTGGGCACCTCGCGCATCTGGCGCCCGGGGGCGGGCGGCAGGCGGTCGTAGCGGTAGCCCAGCGGCTCCGTGCGGAAGCAGTCCGCCACGCGAAAGGGCCGGCGGCCCAGGCGGAAGGGCTCCAGGGGCGCCACGTACACGTCGGGATTGCCCCTGTTCATCTGCGGACCGGAAAAAAAAAACATATCGGCTATTCGGCGGAGGGCGGGATGGATCGACGGCGACTTGCGGTGAGGGTCCCTGCGGGAGCGCATCAAGTCGAGGCCAATGCCGCCACGATCTGGGAACGGCTTCGAACCGGACGGCATGGTTGTCGGACCAATGGTGGCGGCTGGGCGGATCGGAGTGGAAGGTTGGGTGGGGATCTTACCAGGAACTCCATCCTCTGGTGCTGCATGAACTCGCGCTGCGAGTCCGGCTCCAGCTCCAGGTACTTGGAGTAGAAGCGGTCGATGTTGCAGTGGTGCAGCCAGAAGGCCGGGTGGAAGGCCGCGATCGCCAGCGACGACATGGGCGAGCCCAGCATCACGTGCACGGTGTCGTGCGGCGTCTCGATGTTGTTCGCCCGCCCGCCGCGGTGCGCGAAGCGGAAGTGCTCCTCCTCCAGCAGCGCGATCGACGCCTGCTCCGCGGGGCCCATCCGCCTGCTGGGCCGCAGCGAAGCCCGGATGCGGCTGTCGCTGGGCACGGCCAGCCCGCGCATCAGCGCCGCCCCCGGCCCCGACCTCTGGTTCTCCGGCCGCAGGAAGTCGTCGGGCAGCTCGGGAAACCGCCGGCGGATGATCTCGGGGAACACCTCCCGCCGGTCCACGTCGGTCCAGTCCCAGTAGGGCAGCGCGATGTCGCCCCGCCGCCCCAGCTCACGGTCCGCGCGCTGCAGAGCGCGCTCGAACTCCCGCAGGTAGGCGCGGTGCCATGCCGGGAAATGCTCATCCCCGTGGGCGCAGTACGCCCTCCCTGACGGCGACCCCGGCCAGCCGTGGTAGCCCGCCACCCGGAAGTACTCCGACGTCTCCGGCCCCGAACGGTTCTCCATCATCTTCTCAACCGCGTCCGCGAAGCGGTCCTGCTCCGACCGCGGCAGGGAGCGGATCTCGCGGCGGGTGACCACTCTCGCCATGGCGGCGGCTTGCCTCGGGGGGGGGGAGAGGGGGGCGGCGGCGTGGGGGCTTGCCGAGAGGAGGGGGGACCCCAAGGATCGTTTGTAAAGGAGAGGAGGTTGTCAAGGCCGCGGCCACGTCAGCACAGTGGAATGTGCGCGGTAGCGGGGGGGGGGCGCCCAGCCTCCCGGGCCGCAAGGGGACCTCCCAGGCCCGCGGCCTGTTCTGGCGCGGGCTTTGATGCGGTGTACCGCAGGGGTATCGCTGGGCTGGAGTGCGTCCAGGCGCCCCCGCCTCTTGCTGGGCGGTGTTGGAGGCGGGTCCATGTGGCCCCCCTCTGCTCTGCTGCGCACTAGGGCATACAGAAACGCATTCCAACGGGTCCCAATGCACACGCGGCTGAGTGAATGTGCCGCTGTGCCCGCGGGGACTCCCGCTAGGATCACCCACACGTGGAAGGACCTCCGAAACGCTGGGGCGGTATCGGAGGCCGGGCTGTGGGGAATATATTAGCCCTCTGTCTTTTCCGTGAGGAACCCTTCTTCTTCCGCTGCCAAGGCCAACGAGGGTCAGTGGGTCACTTGTTTAGGATGTCCAAACACGAAGGGATCATCGCTGAAAAGGCAGAGCGACTAATTTCATGTGCCGGGGGACGTCGGCTGGCGCGCAGGGACCGCCTGCTGGCGTGAAGCCGCACCCATCCTGTTGCTCAGGTGATGGCAGCCCCGCGGCAAGGGAAATCACTTATGACACCCAACTTTCGCCAAAGAATGAGTGAATGCATCCCCAAAGGCAATGTGGAAATACGACACATTGGCGTGCCACTCTCAGTGGTTGCACAATGCATCAACTCGCATGCAACTGACGGTGGAAGGGAATACAACGGCTGTGCATATGCCTTTGAGCGCCATAATCCAATGCACAAGCTGAACTGTCCTTTTTGCCAGTTACCAATTACCAAAGTTCCCCTTCAATCCTACATATCACTGTGTGCTGTGTCTTGCAGCTGAAAGTTAAATTCTCACAGCAATAAATTGAATTGCCGATTTAGGATACGATTTGGTTGCCGATTGGCGACAATTATGAATAGAGATTGGGATAAGATTGGGATATGCCTTAGGGTACTGTTGGGGCGCCGACTGCTGACACTGATACCACAGTTTGTTTAATACCATGCGGCATCTCGCTCTCACTTCCGTACTCCCAGTGGTCCCAGTACCCGATTCCAATCGAACAGTCGCCGCAATTTTTCATTACATGGCATTTGTTCGCCCCAAAGGGGTCCCGGCCCGGGAGCATCAAGACGACATCCCGATTTCCTCCTCATTCATTTCCGAAAATGAAAGCTCTTCGCTCAGTTTTCGGCAGCCGCGCTCTGGCTCTCCCCGCACCAGACGAGCACCTGAATGGGTACTGGGATTAGCTAACTTTATTTTCCTCCTTTCGCGTCGCTTTTTTCCCGCGTCGCTTTTTTCTGCGTCTCTTTTTTATAATCCCGTGCTCACCGGCCGCCGCCACACCGTCGCCCCCGGATGAATTCATTCAAAATCCAATGCAAGTCGTTAAGACCTCGCTAGCTCGTTTGCCCCATGTTATACAAGATTCCTGGACAGGCACGCGACACGGGGCGCCGGCTCCACCCTAGCTATAGTTAGGTGGCGTGAGCCAGTGCGCCCCGCTCATTATTTACTACCACGTACATTCGCGTGCTGCCAATAAGAACAAAACCTGCTGATGTACAACTGTCGCGCCGCCGCATGCCCGCTAATGTACTGATGTCGAGCCGAAGTGTGGTACTGATGTACAAAATTTTCGATATCGCCGCCCAGCGCTGATTCCTATTCCTACTCCGCAGCGCGCTGCCTGCTGGCCGCGCTGCGTTTCCCTTGCACATGCGCCGTTCCCTTTTTCGCCCAGATTTTCTGCGCCCCGAAGAATAAAAAATGACAAAATTGCGGGCCTCAGGGGCACTCGTCGCCGCCCCCAAGGATGGCCGCCACCCTGGCCATGACCTCTGCCTCGGCCTTCCTCTGGAACGTGAGCGTGACGTCATCAAAGGGCTGCGCGTCCGGGCCATCTCCCGCCTGCAACGTCACCTGGACCATGCCGAGGAAGCCGGGCGGAAGCCTGAGCTTCGCGGACCACGCCGAGTTCTGGGTCTCGCGCACTGGCCGCGCTTCGAAGATGCCGCTTGGCGCCACCAGCTCCATCGGCTCACCGATAAAGTCTGTTGCCGCACCACTCCCAACTGGTATCACAATTCGTCACGAGGTCATGGTAACCTGACAGAGCAGGTTTACTATGCGCAGGGTGCACACAGCTTGTATTTTACCGCGCTTGACGTAAGAATATGTAAATACAAGCTGTGTGTACTCCGCAATAACATACCTGCTGCAAAGATCTGCCCTTGCACCACTAAAGTGTTAAAAGGGCTCATTTCTAAAACGTTTGATCTAGAACGTAAGATGTATTTTAGAAGTACATGACTCCATTCAGAAAGCCGTTTTCATGTTCACCTGCATGCTGAAACGAAACATGCAGCGCCGAGCTTTTCAAAGAGTGTAGCACATGGGTACTTTCAATGACCTCCAGATACTCAAGACTGGATTTCGCACTGAGTGCGGTTGTGGACAGGGCTCACCTGTGAGATTGACGGACAGCATGGATGGCAGGAGTTCGGCGTCCGCACTGGGGAACTGGATGAGGATGGGCACCAGCGCCTGGCTGTCCGCGATTGTGGGCACGCATTGCTTTCCGAACACCGTCATGCCCAGGGCGTGGATGGCGGCTCCGGGACTGCATCACACACCGACACGTTTCAACAGCAGCAGCAGCATGTGAGGGACACCCATTGAAAAGCGTTGTCCTTTGAAAGCAATGAGCGACGCTGAACGTTCTTTAGGTTTCAAGTGTTGTTGAAGTTTGTGCCAGTTGTGCAAAGGGCGCGATATCCCCTTGGCAGCGACAGATTCTTAGAATGCACCGGCGGCCTCCCTCGACGCAAGATTCGTTCCCGTTCGTTCCCTGTTCCTAACCTGTCTGTCCATTAAGAGCACCGAAAAATATTAAACTCTTCCGCATAGTAACGTAAGGCCTGGCCTTTTCTTGCGGAGCAAAATCAATGAAGTTTCTGGGGAACAACACAAAACATAAGTAATTCTACACAAAAATGCGGAGCAGAAAGCGCAACTTTGAGCCATTTTGATGCGGAAGGGCTCAATATTTTCCGGTGCTAGTTGCAGAGAAGTTCTGGCTCTCACCTCGTCCCATTTCCTTCGGCACTGTCGCTGGCGCTCATCTCGACGACTTCGGACGACGCGGCACAAACTTGGGGCCCCACTGCCAGGGTCTCTGACCCCACGCCCGTCGGGGTCTCCTCGGCGTGGCTGCACCGGCAGTTGCCGTCGGGCGCCGAGCATCCGAAGTTGAGAGTGAGGTAGACATCCAGGGGAGAGAACTCGTCGATGGCCAGGCCGGCGCCCATGGAGTCGTACGCGCAGGACTGCGACAGGAGGGAGCAGAAACGTGATGCGAGAGTTGCGCTCATAGGCGCCTGGCTCAAATGAAGGCTTGGAGGGGGGGGATGGCGGAATAAAGGCATGGAGACAGTATTCAAAAGCTGTGGCTTCGAGCCCAATGTTAAGAGATGAGTGGATGTGGGAAAAGACTGTAATTTGGCGAAGCGAGACTGCGTAGACGGAGCGACAATGTGCAAAACATGCGGAAATGCATTCGCATTCATGCTGCCACTTGCAAGCGATTGTTGCCGGAATATTTTCCCCTTCTGGTCGCTATCATGGAACATTCATCAGCCAAAAAGTCTGGATGAAAAGCCCATGATGTGCAATACCTGAGAATATCCTGGCAGACTTTATCTTTGCGGTGCTCTATGGAAGGGCTGAACGTGTCACAGGTCTCTGAATCATGCCATTGAGCGAGGCTCGCAAGGCACATTCCATGATGATAAGGATTAGGAGAGTCACATAGAGTCCAAACATTTGGCTGTCGAAGATTTCAAACACCATCTGATTGACTTCGAGGCCACTCACCATGACGATATCCCTGTGTCTTGGGTAGCTGCGAACAAGCCAGGAACAATGGACATCAGGTGCCATGCAAGACAAAGAAAATAGGTAGTTCTATACATTTAGGATTAGGGAATTTTCCCTAATCGCAAATCTATGCAAGAGAAGGACCCCCGAAGCGAACTGAAAGCAAGAGGAAATTTCGATATTGGATGGAGAGCTTGATGCTGCGGTAGCGCTGGCGATGGGCCAGAAGTCAACCAGTTTAACTGGCATAACTTATAATTGCGTAACTGGTATTACTGGAATAAGAGTATTACTCATACAGGGACACAGTTTTGGCATCATTCATAGATGGTGCAGAGGCTGCACATGAGCCATATCAAAATACCACTAGACAATCATGGAAAGACACTTTGTCAAATGAGCTGTTTCTGCACTGTTAGCGGGAGGCGCCCCTGAGGTTATAGAATCCTGCAAGACTACTTACCATAGCAATCCTCCCACCAATTCGCGCACGCTGTAGTGCCGCCCCGCGATGATCTCTGCGATGGGGTATCCCGAAAAGTTGTTGCGCTTCAGCCGAGCGTCCAGTCCCAGTCCGTCGCTGCCCATGTGGCCGAACATGAAGCCGCTCGAGGACAAGTCTAGCGTGTGGGCCATTGCAGCCCTGAAATCAATCACCGTGTGTAAGATGTTGCGGACAACAACGCTCGCGCCACCATCTATTGACGCGATTTTTGATTTTATCCATCGACTTCCAACCAGTAATGCATGGACTGCGGGTTCCCGATGATTCGTTGCTGTGGGCTTACCGGTCTTTTGAAAAGTGCAAAACATCTCAATGTTGAGCATACAAAATATTTCAATATTGAATATGCAGCTCCCTCTGTTGCACAAATATGTTGATGACATGCCATCGTCGACGTCGACGGCATCAACAGGCGGCCATAGCTGTAGTCATTGGTACTAACATACGACCCTCAGTCGTGGGGCTCGGACAGTAACTTAGGGCCATATTATCTATACGTGGCACTATACAAATTACAACATTTCCAGGATATAGTGATGGCCGTCATCTTCGCAACGCTTCGGTTGCACGACAGGACACTCGCAAAGTGGGAGTCGGCAGCATATTCCTTACCGCAACATGCTCTTGTCGTCACCGACGTTATGCCAGATTTCCACAGGTTGGCATGAAATCAAACGATTTTAATGCATGTTCTGCCGCAGGCGACGGTGGGAGCTTTAGAGGCAATCACACTTTTGGGGTGCGTTTTCGTACCTGTCCAGGGGATCCGGGCTGGTCCTGTTGGTGGCGTTGACGGTCTTCAGAGCCTGTCGGCGCGGCAGCATTACTTCCTGCCGGAAGCTGTAGGCGCAGGGGAGCATCTCCGCAAAGGCGTCCGGATCCTCGCGGTAGGCGTTGATGCAAATCTCCACCTGTCGGCATTCCACTTCTTCACATCGCTCAGGTTCGCAAGCATATTTGCTGCGAACAGAGATGCTCGTGGCGAATATTGCTAGCAAAAAACAGTCCAAAGTACACGCTTTTGCAAATCGCGTACTGTGCACACGATTGAAAATCCAACAGAAATCGTGTCAAATCGTGCATTTCTAGCATAAACATGAGAACAAACCGCGTAGTAACGATTGAGTGAGTGTACATGATGTTTACACATTTTGGCACTGTTTCACACGCGTGTACATGGTTTGAATCCGTGTATTTTGGCCCTTATTTTTACTTGCGTATCAGCAGCGGCGACCCGATGATTTTGCAGCCGTCGCAGACTGAGCGTCACCCAGGCATCGCCCAAGCAGAAGGGCATTCTCTGTGCAGCGAATTGATCCAGCCCTGGGGGGCAATATCCGGCAGCCGTGCAGCACCGCAGTCGACGGCACGAATCTGTCCTTGTCCATGAAACTGAACAGGAAATCAGGGATCCCGAATTGCTGCAATGGGGAGCGAGCATCGGGACTCGTTTACCCCGGAAGCAAATCGTGCTGCAGCGTTTTGGATGAGCAGGCCGCAAACACGACGCACGCAGGTCTCACCCGGTTGGCCCACTCCACTCCCGATATATTGCTTCCGGGTATCATGGTGCTGGGGCACGCCACCTCGGGGTCCACCATCTCCTTCACCGGCGCGGGCGGCGCTTCGCCCATGCACTCCACGCTGGAGGCGTTGCCGAGGCACACGGGGCGCTCCGTGGCGTCGGGGTCCAGCAGGACGAGGGGGTCGCCCACCACAACCTCGCCGTCGCGGTCGTCGGCGGCGTCGCCCTTGGAGCCGCTGAAGAAGCCGCCCTGCGCGTCGACGTCGGTCCGCCGGTGGAATACGCCGGCGATGTCCGGCTCCTGCCAAACGCACCCGACTGTTATGCAGGAGCTTTTGAGTCTCGAAAGGAAACTATTGGAGTTTGTATTTTCCTATTCTCAGTTCCTGTTTTGAAGAAACTCCCGTTTCCTCATTTTCCTGCTTTCATTTCCTATTTTGAGGAAAGTCCTTTTCCTGTTTCCGTGCTCCTGCTACTTTTCCCCCAAGGCACTCGAATCCGACAAGCACGTGCAATTTTTGCTGCATGCGCATGTATGTGTTTCGGTAATTCGTTCGAGTCGTTGGACGGGTACAAATTGGTTCGTTGTTTCGCAAGGGGGCGAAATGCGCGTCAGGCATGCGCAGAGGGCAAGTGCAATTGCCTCTAAAGCCCCCACCGTCGCCCGCTGCAGACTACGCACCGAAATCCTTCATTTCGAAGCCGCTATCAATTCACAGCAGTTTTCAAATTCACCAACACTTCGCCATTCGAAGGGCAAAGCAGGATTTGCAAACAACCGCACAGACAGACCAGTAGACAACGTAGCCGCTAATGGCCGCCATACGCCTCCACGCATCGCTACACGCCGCCATACGTCGCCCTTACTTCCGCAAACCTCACCTGCAACAGCGGCAGGAGCGTGGCGTTGCCCGCGATGATGTTGAACAGCGCCGCGATTCGGCTCGTCCCGTTGCCCGGCGTGGACTGCGTGAACGCCGGAAGGCCAAAACCGAATCCCAGATCCCCTCCGGGGGCGCCCCCGAATCCCGTTCGGAAACCACCAGAAAATCCGGCCCCCGGGCTGCTCCCGGACCCCCTGCCAAATCCAGAGGTAAATCCGGCGAACCCGCTCCCTGGGCCGCTGCTGAATCCGGCACCGAATCCACTGGCGGCGTCGCCGGATCCGCTGAATCCGGCACCGAATCCGCCAGACCCACCGAAGTCCACCGGCAGGGGGAAGCCCGCCGTGGGGTCGAAGCCGGCCAGGGGCGGCAGCGCCGGGCCCTCGGGCCCGCCCTGGGGCAGCGGACCGCCGCCGGTCACGAAGCGGAAGGGGGTCCCCGGCGGGCCCGGGGGCCCCGGGGGCGGCTGCCCGGAGCCGAAGGCCGGCGCGTCCGGCAGGAAGAAGAAGGGGCCCATGAAATCGGTGCCAGATCCCGGGACGGGCGGGCCGGATCCGGGGACGGATCCCGGGATGGTGGCGGCGTCCGGGGGCCCGAAGGGCCGCGGGGCGTTCGGCCTGTTGACGTCCGCCGTGGTGGCGGGCACGGGAGAGGGAGCCGGAGGTGGCGAGGCTGGGGGAACGGAGGTAGGGGCCGCCGGGGCGGGGGGTGCCACCACCTGGCCGCATTTGCAGTCGCCGCCTGGCGCGGTGCAGCCGAAATTCTGGGTGAAGTAGAGCTTGAAGTCGGAGGACGGGTTGTAGGCCACGCCCGTGCCCATGGTGTCGTAGCCGCAGGACTGCGGGGGCGTGCCCAAAAGCAGCGATCAGTCACCAAGTCTGGAAGAAGGAGCAGTGGAGGATGTCTATTTCGATGAGCTCCCATTTCCAACCGGCGTGCATTGACAGTAAAGCTCCCCGAACGTGCGATTGCAGACGGGCATTTCATTGGAACGGCCATACATGACGCACACAAGGTTACACGACTTCTCGTTTGTATCCATTCTACTTTGAAATAATTGTGATCAAATACAAGCGTGCGATATTTCACGACACTGAATATGTTTGTGCAATTGTTTGTGCGTAAAAAACATGCGTAATTGAACGATACTGGATATATTTGCACAGCAGATTGCGCAACATCTCTTCATGTGGTGTGTACAATGGGCGTTTAAGCCCCGTGCAGCTTATTATTTTCTCCAATTCAACACTCTTTTATCACGCCCGATCAAAACCTTCTGGATATTGTTCGCTGCGCGGCAGTGGAATTCACTTCCTACTCACCATGAGGTTCTTGCGGTGTCCAGCGGAGCTGCAACAGAAAAGCATACAGGCTTAGAGCCAAGCGTGTTGACCTGACCTGGCTTGCAATTCCTTGGAGCAACAAGTAGGCAAGCCCCATGTGCTGCACCATCGACATGCATAAGCATGTGGCTACTGCACGAAAATTGCTGTTCGACATCTTTACGCAAATACGCCAAAACAGCAATTTGTGCGTAGCGCCATCCGCTCATTGAGCCGTCCATCCAACGATGGCTCCAATAGTCTGGTGATATGTATAGAGGCATCTCCAGATGCAGTCCGTGGTTTTGCAGCACCAAGCGCAGTTTGGTTGGAAGAGTGACGACGCTTCCCCCCCAGCCACGCATGAATTTGCCTGAGGCATGTACTGGAGTGCATTGGCCATCATACAGTCACAGTCACAGCGGCATAAGGCGCAAATTATGCTACGCTCGAATCGTAAGTAGTGGTCTCAATTGGTCTCCAGCCCCGTTCCCGTTGGGAATGAGGGTACACGTCGCAGTGGTGCACTGCAAAGGAGGCGGCAATGAGCTGCGACACCTTGCGCGAAAGTTCGAAGTTTGTTTCCCCTCCGCGGCACTCACCACACCCATCCCATCACCGTGCTTCGAATGTTCTGGAATCCCGCGGCGATGTTCTCTCCGATGGGAAATCCCATCCAGCCCTCCGCCAATATCCTGTCGGAGAACTTCCGTCCATCGAGGCTGTCGTGCGCGAAGAAATTCTGGGTCGCCATGTCCCTGGAGTGCTTGGTGGATGATCTAGGGGCAGCAGGCGGCCAAAAACTCAAATTGCGCTGTGGCGACGATAAGGGCATTGGAGCTTCATGGATTACATGCAGAGGAACGTAATACGTAACCATCCAGGTATGGCAGATGTTTGAAATGGAATTGTTCCCGAAATGTATGCCTTTGAATGCTGCAAATGTACCAAAGCACTGCGGAAGCATTGAAGTAAGGATTGGCGCCCGGGAGAGGGGATATGATATTTGGTGTTCGCTGACGCGTAGCACACAACATAAAAATTGCACTGCCGATAGCTGTACCACAAGGCTCTTTGACTGAAAATCAACCAGGCCGCGGGCTGGCGACATTTGTTATTGAACTTGCAGAAATGCTGAAAATGGTGCCCCATCTTTGAGCTCTAAGGTCAGAATTTCCCAGCAGCTGTCACTAATTTCACGAAACAAGACAAAGGGGTGGATCGTTCTGATGCAACGTGATATCATTGATGTTGGTGCAGTTGCGAATGAGCACAGCAAGCGCACTCACATGTCAAGTGGCTGGCTTGGGACGTCGCCAAACTGTCTGGCGAACGCCAATGACGTCCTTGGTGGCTGCACGACCTCCTGCCTGAAGGAATATTCGCACGGCAAGTCGTCGCGGAAAGCATCGGGCAGCTCCCTGTAGGCGTTGATGCACGTCGCAATCTGCGGAAAAGATAAAGTCAATCTGACGTCATTCGCTGCCATAATGTGTCGCATTCCACGGGCAAAGCAGCTTTGAATTCTGATGCTCAGAAGCAGCCATATATGGAGATAAGTCCATTTTGTCTTTCGCCTCAGACCGACGTCCAATGCTAAAATGAGTACTTCACGCTCATTTTAGGGAGCCTAAAGCCGTTCCTGGTGTTTACATTCTGAACGCGATTTTTGACAACAAAAGGGAGAGACAAAATTTGTAAAGCTCCTGTCATAGTTGTTTCAATGTGCATGCCTGTGTTGCTTCCCACCTGCCGAAAACAAAAACATTAGGCACTGCGCCGGATCCTTGAAACAACAAAGCTATCAGGACTACAATCTCTTCTATGCCTTTTCGTCCTAATCTGTTGTACATTAGGCGTTCAACGCACGGCAGCAGGGCTTTCGGAACCTCGCTCCATTCTTTGCACCCGCACTCTGGCCATCTGTAAACACCATCGCAAAGCTAAAGCGCACGAAAGCATGCCTAAAACATGCATATGCGCGTGGACCGCCTGCAGCTCGAGCTGCATCCATATATTATGCATCAATATCCATATCCATGTCGCATCCACCGCCACATCGCGTCTACATCCCCACACGCCAACCACACCATCACATCGCATTCATGGAATCACATCACACCCCTCGCTGCATCCCATCTAGCTCAAAACATGTCGCCTCCCCGGCATGTCAGTGAGATACTACATACATGCTGGTGTGTGCGGTGGTATGCCTGGGCGAATGCGGTGGTGTACGTGGTCATACATGGTGGCTGCATACTTGAAGTACAGTGGCATACTTACAAGTTACAATGCTCGCTTCTTACAATACTTGCATGCTTCTATAGTACCATACTTGCATATTACATTACTTGCATTCTGCCGTACACTTGCACACTTGAAGCATCAATAGCGCTCCCTCTGCCCCCGCCCACCCTTATCAATTGTCAGCACCACCTGTCGGGGGAGGGGAATCTCATAGGAAACGGAAGCAGGGGAGCCTGTGCGGAAATGAACGAATTTTGAGTCACGCCAAACAAACGCATGCTTGGAATCAAGCCCAGCATCGCCGCCTATAAGGCGCCAGGACTGTCTTCTGTCAAACACAGTGTGTTCAACATTAGATTTCAATGAATTCATCGTAGGCACTGCTTGATCGGACAAAATAGGAAGCTGAAGGCTACCTCACTGAGTTTTTCAGAAAATAATGGTGATGATGATTTCCTTAATTACATGAATGATGGTGGTGATTGTGGTGGCGGTGGTGTTCTGCCAAATTTGTTTGACAAATGCAACTGAAGGATTTGAGGCCCCTCCCACCTGGTTGGCGATCTCCGCCATGCTTAGTCCCGACCCCACGAGCCCCGACGTCGGGCACGCCGCGTCCTTGTCCAGCGCGGACTGCCCCCGCACGGGCGCCGGCGCGTTCCTGTTCGTGCAGTCCGCCGTGACAGGATCCCTGCACCTGTCCTCCGCGTCGCCGGCCTCAAAAGCCGCCACGTCGATGCTGGTCTCGGTGGGAGCGGCGGACTGCGGGATGACGTCATCGGGGCCCGGCAGGGCGGGCGCGACGTCATCCAGGCCCTCCGCGGGCTCGGAGGTGACGGCGCCGCAGGCGCAGGCGCCGTCCGGAGAGGAGCAGCCGAAGTTGAGGGTGAAGAACCAGGTGGCGCCGGCGCCGGGGGCCACGCCCACGCCCAGGGTATCGAAGCCGCAGGACTGGCGGGCGGGGGCACAGAGACATGGCATTCAATCAAATACAAAACAAGAAAACAGACGAATTGAAAAAAAAAGAATGAACATAAATGAATAACTGAATGAATAAGTAAACATAAATCAATAGCAAACATGAAACCAAATGAGTAAATCATGCAAATAAGCTGAATCGAGTAGAACAGTCATTCGAATGGGAGGGGCCACGCCCACGCCCAGGGTGTGGAAGCCGCAGGAGTGGCGGGACGGGGGGATGGCACAGAGGGACAGCATTCGATCAGCTCAATCGATCAAACTGCAAGGTGAGTTGATCATATAATGTGCTGAGTCAACAAAAATCAGCTCAATGCGATCACCCCCGGTGCGTCAGAGCCGCAGGGCTGGCTGGAGACAGAGAGAGGGATAACGTTCAATCAAATCAGTCAATCAAGTAACGAGTAACATAAAAACTAAAGTCACATGGACAAACTGAATCCACCAAGTCAGTCCACACAACTGAATGAGTGGGAGGCACGCCCGTTCCCTGGGCATCCAAATCGCAGGACTGACCGGGGGAGGCACAGAGAAATGGCATGCAATCAATAAAATGAACTAAATGGAAACAGAGATTAAATCAATTCAATCAGTGGCTAAGAATATGGCGATTGTGTG